CTTCCTCTGGCGTGTTTGGTGGCTGCAGTTCTCACATTTGGTTCTTGCTGTGGGCTTGTATCCTGCACTGGCTCTTGCTGCATTATCTCACTGAGCCTGGACCAGTCCTCATTTCATCCCCGAGATGCCTGTCGGACCGTCCAGTGGGCACAGAGGCAGACCTGCTCCGCGCTTGGCCAGAGGCGGCCTGCCCGAGCGGGCCGGGGAGCCGGCGTCTGCCAGCGGGTGGGCCTGGGGTCACATGCCCTTTGCCCAGCCCCACTTCCACCGTCAGACCAACAATTCTCAGACAGGAAGGCCTCTAAAACCCGCCTCCTCCTACCTTTAGGTCCAGGCTGCTCTGCGCTCACCTGCTCTAGGAACTACACCCCCAGCCAGTGTTTTTACTCAAATGCCAAAGGGGGCCTTTCCAGAGATTGTAAGGAAGAAGCCATTGTTAATCTGAAATTCACCTGAGGGGAAAAAGGATTTGAGAAGCAAAGCGGGCATCAACTGCCCCTTGGCACATGGGCAGAAGGAAGGGTCCCCGATCTCAGCCGGTGTCCCTTCCATCATCCGCGTTAGCCATTATCAATCACTGAGGTGCCGACAGCACCACTTGTCTGTGTGGGTGGGCCGCGCCTCCCAGGCCCGTGGGCCACCGTCCGCACTGAGCAGGCCTTTTGAAGTGGGAGGGGACAGTGGCACCTCCTGGCTGACCCGCCCCTCGCTTGGCACTGGTGGGCCAGGACAAGCCGCCCTGGGGGAGTGGAGTGTGCAGTGGGGGGTTTTTGGTCGGCTCCGCGGGGCACCAAACCCCTGTCTGTAGTTTGCTGGGTGGGATAGGGCAGGTCTCAACTCGAGACCCCATTTTCCTCATCGGCAGAAACGACGCAGCACATTGCCTGGCTGTTGTGAGGCGGCCGGGCTCTGCTTCCCGCTTTCCTCCCGGGCAGAGGTGGGCACATGCGGGCATATCCAGGCACCGCGGCTGCGTCGTGCACCCCTCCTTGTTTCTCCAGGAGCATCACCCTGGGGTCGTGGTGGTGCTGGGGACCCTCCTGTCTACACCGCAGTCTGATAGGAGGGCAGGATCTGTCGCCTGCGGGGGCCTGGTCTCTGATGACCGTGGTACCTGTATCTTTGCCTCTTTGGGAAGGGAAGACACACTCTGCGGGGAGAGCGATGCTCTGTGCAGGTCACAGCCTGGAAACGGGGTCCCCTGTGGAGCTTGTGTACATGCCCCGACCGCTGCTCTCAACGTTGGTCCTGGCATAGAACCTCGGTGGCCGCCTGTGACCACACTCTTGCAGGCCGGGGAGCGGTGAAGTGTTGATTCATGATTATTGAAGAATGAAAGCCCTAACTGCTCAACCACTTTTTTTTTTTTTTTTTTGCGGTACGCGGGCCTCTCACTGTTGTGGCCTCTCCCGTTGCGGAGCAACAGGCTCCGGACGCGCAGGCTCAGCGGCCACAGCTCACGGACCCAGCCGCTCTGCGGCACGTGGGATCTTCCCGGACCTGGGCACGAACCCGTGTCCCCTGCATCGGCAGGCGGACTCTCAACCACTGCGCCACCAGGAAAGCCCCAGGAGAGATTTTGAAGTGAAGGAAAGTCTATTTGTTATCTTCATTTGTGCCTGAGAGAGAGAACATCAAGAAATGGTTGCAAACCCCTGTGTTCCATAGGGACATTTCTGGGGCCACTCACGGATGCTGTCTCAGGGCCTCAACTGGAGGAAGCCCAGGACGGAGGCCACATGTGGCTCCGAATCAGCTGAAATGACAGACCGAGTTCCCCGGCTACTCAGAAACTGGACTGTTACAGGAAACCTGAGGAGAGGTTTTAAAAGTCTAATTAACATAAACATTGTAAACTACCGTTCAGTTAAAAAAACAAATCTAAGCTTCCTTCTCTGGGACTCCCTCCTCACTTCCACATATTCCCTCTTGGGCCCTGGTGCCACCTGGACATGTTTTTATAGCCGGGCCTTTGCAGTACATCCTCGAGGCTGTGCTGGCTGGTTTTTATACGCAGGGCCGTACACGGAATGGGGCCTCAGTTCCTGGAACCCTCTGGTTCAAAGGTCAGGGCTGAGGTCACGGGGCATTGAGGTCGGGGAGCATGCCCACATTCTCTGCACCTTCCTGGGGCTTCATGCCACACAGCGTGTTGGAGTGATGGCAGTGTGTTGTTTCCACAGAACACCATTTATTATCCTGCGTGTTGAACAGCAGCTGTCTTCCCGTCCCCAGATCCCTTGTCCGGAAGGCTTTGGAGCAGCGCGGGCTCTGGATCTCTTGGCTGTGATGGGGTGCCGGTGCCAGTGCGCGATTTGGGTGGAGGTGTTTCTTTGGATGAGGTGCTCCGTGCTCCGTGTAACCCCTGCAGCCTTGGAGGAGGGCATTGGCGCTCCGCCTCTCAGGGCAGCCAGGCTCGCACGGGCCCCTTCTGTCCCCACTCTGCACCTTTGTTGCCCCGGTGACAGCACGTGAGCCCGTGCCTGGGCCCCGATCCTCCGGGGGGCCAGCCTCTCCCTGCGGCCTCACGTCTCCCGGCGCCTGCTCCCTCGGTGGCTCCAGATGCCCATCCAGGGGCAGGTCTGTGGCCGTCAGGGGCCAGTCCTGCAGTGCCGGTCTCGTGGAGGGCGGGAACCTGAGGAGGGACCTGGAAGAGGACCGCAGGACGGCGGTGGCGCTGTGTCAGTGTGCATGTGTTAAACGCATTTTATTTCATCCTCACCCCAGTTTTTCTCTGCAGGGGAGAAAAGGGGGTGAGCATTGTGCTCGTTTTTCACATAATGAAACGGGGGCTGGAGGATGCCCTGCGGCTGATCCTGCAGCTGGTGAGGGTGGACACGAGCCTCCAAATCCCGAATCCTAATGCCCTCTCCCCTCGCCCCTCCAGGCCGGGTCTTAGTGGGCAGCTGTTGGAAACGGAGGAAGGATGTCAGGAGGGGTGGAAGGATTCTTCTGGGAGGGGCCGGCCACTCGGAGACCGGGTTTAGATCTCGCCCGCTGGGTCACCAGCTGAATGGCACCCAGCAGATGTCCTCCCGTGTGACACGGAGGGCTGTGCCCGGCTGGCCTCTGTCTGAGGAAGGGACCCTCGGGAAGCTGGAGGGTTTGGGGGGGGCGCCCTCGAAGGAGTCGCACTCCTCTCCTCACTGGACACAGCTGTTGAGTGTTCTCCCTCTGTGGACGGAGCTCCCTTCACGCGGCAGCCTTTGAATTCCACGCAGCTTCTGAAAGGCCTCGCTGAGGGAGGGGCACGATGCTTGCCGGGGTGCTCACGTGACAGCGTGTTCACAGCTGCGGGCAGAGTCTCTCCAGATGAGGCATTGGTAATTTGAACCCCACCTTTAAATGCAGTGTCATCGTGACCTGTCACAGTTGTAGGGATTACATAGCTTAAATCTGAACTGTAGGGGAAACCCTCAACACGTCTGAATTTTCAGAGGATATCATCGATAGAAACATTGCCATTCTAACAGCCTGCAGCAGGTTTCCCAAACCACCAGTCGTGAGAGTCCACAGATCGATTGCAGCCCCCGACCCCTCCCCCATCCCCCATAAAGTGAGTCTTAGTTGGTTGGAGCAGGGCTGAGGACCTGTGACATTTCTTGCACTGGACAGTGGGACAGTGAATGCTGACTGGTGGTGCTTGAATTAAGCTTCTTTTCCCCCCCAGGATTCCTCGCTGTTAAGAGTCAAGCTGTCACGTGCAGGGTCCTCACTCAGCCCTGAAGCTCTGCAGGTGGTGTGGCCTTCGGGCCACTCTGGCCCTGACGGGGGGCGGGCAGACAGGGCTCGCACACAGCTCTGTCATGCTGTAGGTCACACCCAGCCTGGTCGTATCCCAGAGCCATGGGTGCCGTCCTAGTGCCTGGTCCTGCCCAGAAGCCGGTTCCGGAGGGAGTAGGCCGGCTCGCCGGGGCTGGTTCCTCCCTGCCCCGTGAGTCTGAGGATGCCCCTCGGTTGCACGTCCACGTGCAGCAGCCCCCGTGGCTCCCCTGAGCAACCAGTGTGGACCAGCTATGAAATACAAAGTATCTCTGACACTTTGAAATAAAAAGTGTACAGGCTAACAATTCTGATATCACTATACCTGTATACTGGGATTGAGCGTAAACAAAGAAATAGGTGATTCATAGAGGTCACAAAGAACGGATACAATTTTTTTTAAAGATGCAGGACAACATATCAAGAAGGTGACCGTTTGTGTAGGCAAATGGATATGTATTTATGTTTGTGACTCAAGGAAAGATTTCTGTGTCTCTGGTTTGAGTGGTTGTTACCTCCTTGGTGGCCATAAGGCAAGGTGCAGGCACTCTGACCCCAAAGTTGACCGCAGACGCCCTGAGAAGGGGAAGACGGATTATGCGGGCAGAGGTCTCAGACTAATTCCCAGGGCCTGTGGCCATCAGGGGGCCCACCCTGGGTTCTTTGAAGCTTGACCACCACCAAGAATCTGTCTTGCTCGCTCAGCCAGGGGAAAGAAGCCTCGATCCTGGGTCCCAGCCTTTCTCTGTCCATTATGCTTCCTGAGCACCTCCTGTGTGCCGGGCCCTGTTCTAGGCCCTGGGGAACCGGCCAGGCACCACCGAGCCCCTGGTGGAGCTGACGCTGGGAGAAACAGCCAGGAACATGGACAACGGCCAGTTCACACAGTAACAGGATGAGCCTCGAGAGGGTCACGCTGGGTGAAACGTCAGACAGCAAAGGACGTGGAGTGTGTGATTCCGTGTACATGAAGTGTCCAGAATAGGCAAATCCATAGAGACGGAAAATAAATTAGTGGTTGCCAGGAGCTGGGGGTCGGGAATGGGGAGTGAACGCTCCCCATAATGGGTATGGATGGGGTTTCATCTTGGGTGATGAAAGTGTTCTGGAACTGGAAAAAAATAAAATAAAGAATGCCTCTGAGAAGTTTTAAAGTCAGTTTTAACTGAGGGTCAGTGCTCTCCTCTGTGATTGAAAGCGCCTGTGGCCCACGTGTCTCTCTCCTAACAGGTGACGAGCCGCTGGTGGGAAGATTCCGGAAGCTGAGCCTCGAGCAGTATGACAGCAATGCTGGGGAGCAGCCAGCCTTCTCCACATGCGGCTGGGGAAAGACTAACAGTGCGGAACAGGCCCCAAGCCTGGCGCCTTTTCTCTCTTCAGACAACGCCAAAGAGGTATACACACCGCCACCCAGAGCCTGGCCTGAGCCCCGTCCCAAATCGCCCGTTCAGTTCCCCACCCGCCTTCGCCCCCATCTCACATACGAAGTTCCTCCCTGAAGGCAGGTGGTGTTGGGGAGAGCCGAGCTGTGCATCAGCCGGGATCCTGGGTGGGATCCCCGCTCTCCCGAGAGAGCCGTGCGGGCGTGCACCTCACTCACTGCGGTCATCTGAGCCTCTGTGTTCTGATCTGTAGAATGGGGATGAGGGGCCCAGCATGCAGGTGGGTCATGAGGGTAGAGGTCTCAGAGCTCCATGGGTGGACGGCAGCAGCAAAGGGCAAACAGAAGCCATCGCAAAGTACCCCAAGTCCCCAGCCCAAGGCCTCCCGGCGTCCCCGGGAGGGAGGAGGAAAGCAGGTCAGCGTGGATGTGTGCTCCATGGGGAGATCTACAGAGCATCTTTGGGGAGGTGTACTTAAGGCTTTTATTCAGAATTGAAGTAAGACAGGTTGGCAAACCCCCAAACGATGAACCCTTTGAAATTAGGGTGTCATCGACTCTCAAGGTGGAAAAGTTGGAACCCAGAATAGACGAGAAAAGAAAGTCACCAGAAGTGTTAACACACACACACACAGAACCAGTGTTAATATCTGGGCTATGTCCTGGCAGCCTCTTTTCTGTGCCTGCATTTTTAATTCATTGGGTATTTTACGTATCTGTGCACACACTGCAGGTGACGATTCTTTTACCCTGCTTTTTTCACTTAACGCTCGCTTTCCCTCTGCTGCACAGACTCTCTGCTAACTCCACTTATGAGCTGTGTAATGTTGACCACAAGACACTTCCCTCTACCTTGACTGTTATTGAAGCTTCTTCCAGTTTTCCATGGCTGCCTCCTGTCTCCAGTCTCAGACGAGGGTTGGCTCAGTGGGTGCCAGGGGCCCCCAGCTGTCTGGAAGTGGCCTTCACCTAACCAACCTCCCCTGCCGATTTCAGGCGGTGATCACCACGTATCCCCCAGACCTGGGTGTGATCGACGGCAGGATCTTCTCTCCAACCAGCAGTGGCAGTGAGTCCATCTCTCCCACACCAGCATTTCCTGCGTCTCCAGAAACGCCATATGGTAAGAAAGAAGCAGAGCTCGTAGTGTGCAATCCCACCCCTTGAGGGAGCAGAGGGGAACAGCTCGTCACTCTGCTTTCTCTTTCCAGTGACAAGAAGCCCACGTTATCCTCCGTTCAGCCCATCCGGGCCGCAGTTGGGCAGCCCCAGCGGTCTGTACAAAGGAGCTCCTGGTAAGAAACCCACCTCCTTTCCTCTGCTCTGGATGTCCTCTCATGCAGAAATATTTCCACGTGTGTCACATCTCAGAAATGTGGCTGTGGCTGGGGAAGATGCAGGGACACTGCTGTGCAGCCCGCTTGGGGTTAGCAATGGTGTTGAATCTCTGCCTGGCGTCCTGCAGGTGTGCTGCTATTTTCTTCTGCTCACTGAGCGCTTTCAAGCGTTGATGCGGCGGGTCATGGTGCTCTCGGCAGCCGAACATCGGTGCTCTTCAACTCCTTGTGGCATTACTTGGAGTTGAAAGAAGAAACTGGAACACCCGACCCCCGCTTTTCAGAGGAAGTGGGGGCCACAGAGAGCAGTGAGCTCCCCGCTCTGAGTGGCACGGCTGCCCTCGCCCGCTGCCCGCTCACACAGACCTGTCCTGGCCCCTTACGTTCTCGGCCGCCATCCTGGATCTCCCCAGCGAGTGGCCGCTTCTGGACGGGTCTGCTTCCTCCCTGGGCACGTGCCATACTTGCGGGGTCGAATTTGTCTGTGCACCGGCCCCGGGGAGGGAGTTAACGCAGCGGTGGTGGGTTCCTCAGCACCCCTTCCTGGTATGGACATTCCCCACCTGCCTTGAGAGTCCAGGACGGGCCTGGGCCCGGGCAGGTGGGGAGGGAATGTAGCTCAAGCTGAACTTACACTTTAAAATCGCTCTTCTCTTTAATTGTGGATTCCTTATGCGGCTGCTTTTCTGCCCTGGGGAAGCTGAGTGAGGGTTACCACTTCTGCTCATTAGATGCACTTTTGGGGGGAGGGGGAAGCAGACATTGTGTTTAAATCCCACCTCTTACGCAGGGGAGGTTGTAGTGATGACAGCTAGCTCCATTTTCCTTCTTTTTCCAGAGAAAACGAGATCCATGTGTCATTTAAGAGAAGGGCCATTTTTCTTCCAAAAGATGCTTGCTTTTAGCATAGAATTAAACTACAGGTCTTTCTTAGCAGGTGTAACTGAAATGAAGGGCAAGAAGAAACGTGCGCTGTGTTGGTGCGTTTGTTTGTACATGTAGGAGCACAGCATGAGATGTGTTTCTGTGTGTGTGGTGCACGGACTCACACCCGTGAAGCCGTGTGTCTGTTCTAATATGTTTTAATAATCTAGACAGAAGCAGAGGGACAAGCCTCCATTTCCACACAGCCCTCTCCTCCCTGAGTCGACCACGATTAATGGCTAATTTGAACGTATTTAGTGGATTCTGGCTAGAGCCCAGCCCTCTGACACGGAATTCCGTCAGATCCCACCACTCCAAGACCAGGTTCACTGGAAACATGCTGGTGACAGCAGTAGAGGGTGGATGATAAGCTTAAGGAAAGAAAGTACCAGAGAAAACCTTCAGACTCACTAACAGCTCCGAACGTGGGCCGCTAGGGCCATTGTGTGGAGTGTCACAAGCCCTTCCTGAACTTGAGAAGGGCCTGGGGGCTGAACGAGCTCGGCGTGCCCTGTGTGCGACGTGGGGCGACCGTCCCGGCCTGGAGCATCAGGCCCTGGGACAGACGTGGGCTGCATGGGCCAACATGTCCGTGTGTGACCGTGCGGCCCTGCACATCCAGTGTGGATTAGGCTTCTGTGCGGCCAGTGTGTCTAAGGAACTTTGGTGTGCAGATGTCCGCTTGGATGAAGTAGGGCTTTGATTTCAAATACAAAACGCAAACGTGAAATTGGAGCCGTTTAATCTTAAGAACACCTTCCGCGTCTTCCGTGTTTTCATTTCGGCAGTCCCTGAGGACGTTAGCCCAGGAAGGGCTCAGAGACACACACACAGCACTGGCTGGGGGCCCCATGTGCTGTGCACAGTCGAAGGGTGGGTGGTGGCTGACCCTGAGACACAGCGATGGTGGTGGCTCACACTTAGGGACTACATTCACCCCTCTTCTAAAAATATAAGCAGGGGCTTCCCTGGTGGCGCAGTGGTTGAGAGTCCACCTGCCGATGCAGGGGACGCGGGTTCGTGCCCCGGTTCGGGAAGATCCCACACGCCGTGGAGAGGCTGGGCCTGTGAGCCATGGCTGCTGAGCCTGCACGTCCGGAGCCTGTGCTCCGCAACGGGAGAGGCCACAACAGTGAGAGGCCCGCGTAACACAAAAAAAAAAAAAAAAGAAGCAGAAAGCAGTGCAATTATAAACAGGGAAACAGAAAATAAACCGAAGAGCTGATTCCTTGAAAAGATCAATGAATTTGACAAACCTCCAGAAAGACTGACAAAAGAGAGGGAAGACACATATGCTAATATCAGAATGAAATAGGGCTATTGCTGAAAACCCTGTATAAGCCAAAAGGACAATAAGGGAATATTACAAACAGCTTACGTAGTGTTTAATGATAAGCACAAATTGTAAACAATGTGAAACAGACCATTTGAATACCCTGTAAGTATTAAGGCAATTGAATTGGTAATTTATTAAAACTCCCCAAAAAGAAACCTCCAGGCTCAGATGGTTTCACTGGGGAATTCTACCAAATATTTAATGAAGAATTAACACGAATTCTACATAATCCCTTTCAAAAAACAGATGAGGAGGGAACACATTCCAGTTCGTTATTTGAAGGTAATGTTGCCCTGATACCAAAACCAGACAAAGGCAACAGCAAAAAACAGCAAAAAAGATAACTATAGACTAATTATCCCTTATGAACATAGACACAAAACTGCTTAACCAAATAGAAGCAAATAGAATTCAGTAATATATGAAAAGAAGTATACACCATGGCCAAGTGGGACTTATTCCAGGGATGCACGACTGATTCAATATTTGAAAATCCATCAGTGCAATCCACTGTATTATCTGGGTAAAGAAGAAAAATCACATGATATCAATAGATGCCAAAGAAGAATTTGACAAAATTCACACCCATTAATGACTAAAAACCCCAGCAAAATAGAATGGAGCATCTACAAAAACCCTACAGCTAACACCACTATTACTCCACATAATGGTGGATGTTCTACAGGGGCACCATGCAAGAGAAGGAAATAAAAGATAACAGATTGGAAGGGAAGAAATAAAACTGTCCCTTTTGGCAGATGTCATGATTGTCCATGTTGAAAATTCTAAGGAATCTACTAAAAATCCTCCCGGAACAAATAAGTGAATTCAGCAAGGTTGTTGGTTATTAAGATAAGCACTCAAAAATCAATTATATTTCTATATGGTAGCAACAAACATGTAGAAACCTGAATTTAAAATACAGGTGTTGGGACTTCCCTGGTGGTCCAGTGGTTTATAAGACTTCGCCTCCCAATGCAGGGGGTGCAGTTTCGATCCTTGGTCAGGGAGCTAAGATCCCACATACCTCGCGGCCAAAAAACCAAAACATAAAAACAGAAGCATCAATAAAGACTTTAAAAATAGTCCACATCAAAGAAAAAAAGTTAATAAAAAATAAAAATACAGTGTCATTTATAATAGATCAGAAGTGAAATACTAAAGTATAAAACTAACAAAACATATACAAGACTTATACGCTGAAAACTACACAGTGTTGATGAAAGAAATAAAAGAATATCTAAATAAATGGAGAGACATGTTCATGGGTTGGAAAACTCAACCTGGTACAGATGTCATTTATTCCCAGATTGATGCATAGTTTTAACACAATTCCTATCAAATTCCTGACAAGGTTTTTTTGTAGATATAGACAAGATAATTCTAAAATTTATATGGAAAGGCAAAGGAACTTGAGTAGCTAAGACAATTTTGAAAAAGAATAAAGTGGGAAGAATGGATTTGCCTAACTTCCAGATTTATTATGTAGCTACAGTAACTAAGACTGTGTGGTGTTGGTGGAGGGATAGACACAGAAACCAATAGAAAACCCCAAAACAGACTCATACAAATATGCCCAATTGATTTTTTTGAAAAAGGTGCCAAAACAAGTCAATAAAGGAAAGATAGCCTTTTCAACAAATAATGCTGGAGCAAGTGGGCACCCACAGGCAAAAAAAAAAAAAAAAGAAAAAAGAAGATTAAACAAATTCTCACATCTTATACAAAAATTAATGTATAATGGATCAAAAACTTAAATGGAAAAATGGAAAACTATAAAACTTTTACCAAGAAAATAGGAGAAAATCTCTGGGGTCCAGGCTGGGCAAAGGCTCTTAGATTAGCACCAAAAGCATGATCCATAAAAGGAAAAATTGATAAATTAGACTTCATTAAAACTGAACATTTTTGCTATGGAAAGAACATGTTAAGAGGATAAAAAGACAAACTACAGACTGGGAGTAAATATTTGCACTGTGAATACTCAGCAGTAAAGAAACAAACAATCCAATTAGAAAATGGGTAAAAGATACGAAGAGACGTTTCACCAAAGAGGATGTACAGGTGGCAAATAATCACATGACAAGATGTTCAGCATCATTAGCCTTCAGTGAAATGCAAATTAAAGCCACAGTGAGACATCACTACAGACTTGTCAGAATGGTTAAAAATAAAAATAGTGACAGCACCAAATGCTGGTGAGGATGTGGAGAAACTGGAACTCTCATTTACTGCTGGTGGGAACGGACAATGGTGCAGCCTCTCTGGGAAAGAGTTTGGCAGTTTCTTAAAGAAACTAAACATGCAACCACCATGTGACTCAGCAATTGCACTCCTGGGTTTTTGTTCCAAAGAAATAGACTTACACTCACACAAAAACCTGAACAGAAATGTTTATAGCGGCGTTATTTTAAATAGCCCCAAACTGGAAACAACCTGGGTGTCCTTCAGCAGGTGGAGAAATAGACTGCAGTCCATCCACACCATGGAACACAGCTCAGCAATGAAAAGGAACCAGAATGTTGATGCAGCAGTGGTGCCACACCTGGGTGAATCTTCAGAGCAAAGCCATTCCCCAGAGTTTACATCCTGTATGGTTCCACTTACATAATATCCTTTAAATGGCAAAATTATAGAAATGGAGAACATATTAGTGTTTCCTAGGAGTTTGGAAGGGGGTAAAGGTGGAGGGGGAGTG